TCTGAGAAAAGAGACAAATCAATGGTATATAAAGTGGGATTTTCGGACATAAGAAAAATTTGCCATCCATTGAATTAAGAGACAAAGCGTACGGAATTCGTCTCCGAGGAATCAAAAACACAGCAACAGAACACCTCGGGAAATATTTTTTAAAACCTGAACTTCAAGGCATATGGATATGTCATTTTAACGAGTTCTCTTTCGCATACATTGTTAAAATGGCTTGATTGCTTTTTAAAGAAAACAGAACAATAAGTGAGTGTAAATGTCTATATTAATGTTTTATTTAGTCAACCAATCAAATCTAAGCTAGGAGTTTTTCGGTATGGTATTTAACACATTTACAATTTACAAAAAACACTCTCGGAGCCTTTTCCTTTGAGGTACTCGACCGTTTACAAGGGACAGATTTTGAAGGTAATTGTGAGAATTGTTGCATTGAGTTTAAGTGTACAATCTTCTTAGAAGCAAACGAATTAAAATTACTTGGAATTCTTTTTCTCCCTTAATTTCACGCTGGTCACACGAAGTCTCCTATTAGCTGTTAGCTTTGAACTTCTTCTTGCAATGAAGAAATCATGGCCGCTTCTCTGCTCGCGCTCGGATGCGGAAAACTACTAGTCTAATGAAGACTTCAGTTATGGAGATTCTTTACTGATAGCTTAAAATGTGTTATTTTTTCAAATAATTTTTATACGTTTACCATATACACTGTAGCTTGCGTAACTGGTGGTTTTGCGCGCTGAAGCTTTTAATCGACGGAGCCGGTAAACCAGCAGCAAGGCCGCGAAAGGCTTGAGATACCTACCTACACGTATTCGCGGTTTCGCCGCAAAATCGCCAGCTACGTAAGCTATATGGAACACTAACAGCTTTGTTTTTCATCTTCGTCATTAACGACAAGCCAAATAATTGTGGTTCAGAATTTTTAGATGCTCTCAATATCAATCTGTAATTTCGCGATTCAAATATACAAGTTTTTGATGCGTTGCGAGCCTATGAATGGCTAGCAGCTAAACTTCCTTGCCCCCTCCCGGTAAGGCTGAGCGTTCCCACTTCCACTTCGTAAAGGTTCAGTTCTGTCAATGTTGCCTACCTTCCCTTTAACGTACTCTTTTGTCCATTTTCATGTTTTCTTTCAAAAGGCGAAGATCCAGAGCAAGTTTTCGAACAACTGTTAAAAAAAAAAACTGGCAAAATGTAAATCTGCGGGGAAATCACTGCACCTGAGTCAACATCGCCGCAGAAACAAAAGCGCAAGCGATCGACAAGTATCCTATGAAATATTCATCACTTCTACAGACCAATAACGACTGGCAAAATCGCCTCCTTAGCCGCTGTTAAGAGCTGTTAAACAAGAGATTTAATGAGCTCTGATCTATGGTAGATTATTCGAATAATGGTCGAGGGCAAGCTACAGTGTTATAGATACCGTATCAGCTATAGAAGCCCTCGCAATGTCTATGTTTCATCGAAAGAGCCACTCTTTAGAAGAGTTCGATGGAGTTGTTAGTCGTTCCTCCGTAGACGAAACCAGTTATCATTACTCAGGATCAACTTCGTTCAGAAGAAAAATGAAATCTGTCCGTGGGATGCGATTCCGCCCGGTTTTCCCAGCGATAATTGGAGTTAGCTTAGGATTTGCGTTATCAATGTTCTATATTCCTGTTGTGGAACAGCAATGTTTGTACGATTTAGAAGAGTCACAAGTTTTGATTTTGGGTCGCCAACAACCTGGTATGTCTGACACGAGTGAAAAGCGAACTGAAGAATCAAAGCCGGTTGTTCACAACACAGTACCGCCGAAAGTCACACACTTTAGTTATGGGTTACGGCCATTTTACGTTGCTAGCGAACTCGGCCATAGAGATAAATTACTTGTTGGTATTCTAACTACTGAGGAAAATATTGACTCGCTGGTGCTTGCTGTGAATAACACATGGGGGCCTTTACTACCAAAAATTATATTCTTCACTCCGTTCTCGAGAGATGTTGACTTTTCGGAAAAATACAACAAAGTGTTGGGTCTACCAATAGTACAACTTGCCGACGTGGAAGATGAGAATTTTTCCAAAACAAAATTGTCTTTTAAAATGTTGAAATACATGTACGATCATTATGCTAATAATTATGAATGGTTTATGCGTGTCGAAGACTCCATGTATCTAAAACCAGAGAAACTTCTCGAGTTGCTCAATAGCGTGAACAGTTCAAAGGATGTTTATCTTGGCCGTCCAGGATCATACAGGGCGAAGGGAGGAGACAATGGAGATGATAATTTGTACTCTAATGATAAGTATTGTTATGGTGGTACAGGAATTGCTCTTTCAAGAAGTGCTTTGATGAAACTTTCCCCTCATTTGGAAAACTGCCTAGAGAACGCATTGACGGAACAAGAAGACGTAGAGCTCGGCCGATGCCTTTTGAAGAATGTCCAATTGCAGTGCACATGGAGTTATGAGGTGGAAAGACATTGTAGTTAATTTATGTTTTCGATTGTGTCGTGTTTGCCTGATCGGGGCCATAAATTGATTATATTTAATGGTGATAATTGATTCTTGGGATTTAATTAACATCAACCATTATTTCTATGGTGATCGGTTAGGGATCATTTCACTTCCTGTTACCTAAAAAAATAGAGGGTACATCGATGGATGACAAACTTTACCTCACTGAGGGCATTTTTCTTTAAGGAAAATGTTCAACTTAATCAAAGTCACTGTTACACTGCTACACTGTTTGGCAACCTAAAATTGGAAATCGGTCATACGGATAAAAATGGAGCGGAAATTCTTAAATGGACAGCACTTTTGCAATATTACACGACCTACGTTGCCGTCAAAACCGCCAAGGCTAATGAGAAACAAGGAAGTCATAGCCATATTTTTTATACAACTGGTTATCGTATTGAAACTTAAGGCTATAAACATTAGGTTGTAAAAACATTCTATCTTGTTACATGATCACAGGACCTGCCAAATTGGCAACTTTCACTAGGAATTTAGGCCATTTTTGGTACTTGAGACAACCCTCCCCACCCCCCACTGCTCAAGGCAACTTTAGAGAGCTTTTATGTAGATATGGGAGTTGTAATAGTTGTTTTTGGGAACCTAATACACACAGGCTCCAGAGAAAATTTGTGCTATCTTGTTGGCAAGCCAAAGTGTTTATATGAGAAAAATTTGTCATGCTTGAGAGGGTTACTCTTCCTACTTTGACAAGGAAAGACACCTTCACATGTCACCTTGCCTCCTGAGGCACATTTTCCATTTTCATCCAAACAGTTAGTTGAATTTTTCAATGAACTAAGTCAAAAGTTTGCTCCACTAGGGTAATTTGAAGGAAGGTTTTGATTCTATGAAAATTTTGTTTAAAGAGATCTACCAAATTCTTTTGTCAATGTTGATTTGGTTTTTTTCAGTGTTTTGATTATCAAAATAATTCTTTGTTTCTTTGATTATAGTCAACCTTCAAAATCATCTCAGGGTAGGAAGTTGTTTGGTGGATATTTTTTGTCATTCCGCACTTTAAAATATACAAGTTGACACTTGACTGACATGCAGAGTATTCTAAATGACTGAAGAGGATCAATTTTTAAAGCATTTTATTTTGCAGGATGTTTCCTCTGTGGGAATATATCTTTGCCAATATAGGACAATCTGCAAAATTTGTAGATTGTACCAAAAACCTACAAGAGTCTCACACTATGTAGAAGTTTGACTGTGTTTTATGCTTTCTTTTAGGCAGAAGATCTCTTTTATCATTTCCCCAAAGACACTGGTGAAACCAAGATCATAAATCTCATCAAAGAAAGGAGAATGGCTCGTACCATCTCCCTGCATCCTGTCAGCAATCCACTCCTCATGTATAAAATTCATCGCTACTTCGCTGAGCTAGAGCTGAACAAAACATTTGTTGAAACAAGAACTCTTCAGAATGCAATTAAAGATATGCTACCATATTTACCAGAAGGTAAGTAATCGATAAACATTTGTGTTCCTGGAAAGCTGAATGATTTAATTACTGTAATGAAGATCTTGCTACAAGTTATTTGCAAATGAAAGCTTTGGTAGAAAATGGCCATATATAATTTTTGTTGCCCAGTTTTACTTTTTTTCAGGTGGGAACTAAGTTTTTCAAGAATGACTTGTCTGGATATAAAAATAATTTTTTTTTCTTTTTTTTTCCCATAAAATTTAATATTATATTTTTAAGGAATAACTTTTGCAGAAAGGCACTGTTTTACAAACTTTTGTTTGTATTAAACAATTTTTCCAAGGGTAATTACGTAACCAATTTCAAAGCCATGTTATTTGGAATTCAATAAATGAAGATATGAAAAGTTCAATATCATCCTCTTTCAAGTGCAGATTAAAAGCAGCACCATCTTACCAACAGTTCTTAGTTCATTATCTGTATGTTTGTAGCAGTATGTCTTCTGACTTCTATCTTTCACCCTTCAAATATATCTTGGTTGCAATATGTGAGAAATATATCAAGATGTGTTTGTTATTAACTTTATTTGGGTGCATTACAGTTTGCTAGTATTGTACAATCTCTGTATTTGCCCTCACTTTGACAGAAGCTCTGAAAAACAATAATAGTTTAGGATAATAGGAGAAGAGTCGTTAACAATATTACTCTCCAGCTGTCAAATGTCCGAGGGACCAGTATTCTTAAGAATTTGTATTCCTGTGAAAATACAGGTATATGGAAATGGTATTGATTTCATGGAAGGAAGCAAAAATGTGTTAAAAGTCTTTGACTTTTGCCTTGCAGCTATTTTCCTGTTGAGTTATGGGAAATCTCTTTTTTGTTTTTTCACTTGATTGTGTCAAAATTTGAATACAAGCCTAGGAACAGAATTGTTTAGATCATATTGTGCTTGAAAATCAAGTATCTTCATCAGAAGTTTTTCGATATCCGGCAATATTATATCTGTACTTTAATCTTGATATGGAACTTATCTTTTGGTATGTGGTGTACGTGTGTTGTAAAAATAAATTAATGATATTGGATGGTTGTCACAAGTCAGGAAAGACAAATTTCTTCAAGGTTAAGGAAAAGTCAGGCAAAAAGTGAAATTTCAAGTGAAGTCAAAACTACATATTTGCTCCGTTGAGTGAAAAATTTCATAAAAGCAAACTTAGAATGTGGGCTCAATGTCACTAGAGTTTCGTGAGATGAAGGAAATCATGATTATTTGTGACGTGATGAGATACGTGATACTCCAAATTAGGAGACGGGGAGAACCTGCCAAGATGAAATTAGGCTAAAATGTAAATCAGGTGAAACTGAATGAATTTTTTTTTTGTATGTTCAGGTGTTCCAGAAAAGAGACCATCATGGCCGATTGGTTTCCGTCAACCGTTTAAACCTCAGTCACGTTTCGAGGTGTTGCAATGGGAATATTTCACAGATACGTCAAGTTACGGATTCACAGAGGTCAATCCTAAGGTAAATTTAGTAAACTGTAAGATCCTGTATTTTCTTTGTATTTTCTCTCGAAAGTTCTGATTGGTTGATGAGAAAACTTACACCACGTTTTCACCAAATCTGATTGAAAAAGTAATTTGAACTCGCGCGCTTTGGCGCCTCATGACGCAGGTGTTTCATTGTGTGTGTTGTAGAGGTTTCTTCTGATTGAAAGTTGCTATGGTTTCGCACGTGATTAAAAACCGCTTTAAGCCGCCCCCTCTTCTTTCTAAAGGTACCTTTGCAGGGGGATTACAAGAAAGACGTCGAGGACGTCAAAGAAACGGCCATCAAAATGTTGACACGAGAATACTCTAACGTAAACAAGCAGTTCCTTCTGATGAATGGCTACCGACGAGTTGATCCAAGAAGAGGAGCTGAGTACATCCTGGATATTGGAATCAAGCCAGGTGCTGCGGAGAACAGGGGAACTGGGAAAGAGGCAGATATGACAATCAGGTGTGGTAAAATGCCCTACACCATAAACTCTCTAACAGGGATCGGGAGCGGAGGGACTTTTTGATATCCTAGGGATTTTAGATGGGGGATTTATTAGTGAGGGGGAGGATAATTTGAGAGGAAGGGCTTCTAAAAGAAATTCAGTTACTCATAGATACCAAATTTTCTCTCATTTGGTCATTTTTAGAGGTATTGTGACCTCATTAAATTCATTGCTTTTTGAACAATTTTTATTCAGACGAGTTCATCTTCTGAGGCCGTACACCATGGTGGAAAATATCCTAATGCCGACTGCTATCGAGCAACGTGGAATCCACCTCGTTCTTCCCGTCCTTCGGAACGACACCAAAAGATTGGATGACTTTTTTCAGATGTATCAGAAAGTTTGCTTACAGACTGGAGAAAATGTGGTACTACTCACTGTATTTGTGAATGTTAGGGACGCAGGCCAAGAGAAAAACAAAGGGGACATATTTGCTGATGGAAAAGCGATTATTGCACGGTAAGTCGTAAACTACACGTCGTGTAGTCCATTTAGTCAATCGCTGATCCACAAAGAGAGCCTCTTTGCCACTTATTACCAATAAGGAGTACGCTGAATTTGCGTGGCTTTATAATCTTTGGCTTATCCAGGATTGCCTCTTCCTCCCCTTGACGGGGTGATAGTCCATTAATGGTTATCATATATCCCACACCTCTCCACCCTTTAGCAGTTCGTAAAGTTTACCAGACAGTTCGCCGAACCCACATCTCTCCAGGGTGGAAAGAGGCACTTTGAAATTTAAGTGTCTTGCCCGAGAACACAGCGCAATGACCCGGCCAGGGGTCGAACCCAGACCCCGCAACCAAGAGTCTAGCGCGCTAACCTACTCGTCTTCTTTAAATGCAGGTACAAACAGAAATACACTTGGGCGCAGTTGCCGTGGATACAGATTGGAGTCAAGTACAACTCCCTTACGTTGCTCATGGACATTGTTACCATGAAGCTTCCAGCCAATGCACTGATCTTTCTCGCAGCTCTTGAAGTCGAGTTCAACGTAAATTTTCTTAGCAGGTGCAGAGTGAATGCACTTAGTGGTGAGCAGGTGAGTCAAATTTCCGTCTCCTATGATCTAGGACCATTACGGACGACAATGTCTCCCAAAATACCCAGGAGCAACCTCGACGTTGTTCCGATAATTTCCGACCATCAAACGACCAGGCACGAAAAGGTTCCGAACATACTAGGTTTTTTCCGACGATCCACGAAAATTCAACGTTTAAGTACGAAATGTATTCGGGAATATCAGGGAACAAGCTCGATGTACTTCCGATGCCAAGTATAACTACCAGCAACGAACATGTCTCCGAGAACACCAACGAGCAAGCCCGAAGTTTTTCCGATAAGCTAAAACAACCAAGTTTCAACCTCTCTTCCTTTTTGTTTCTTAGGTAACGATTCTTTAAAAATTTACCCGAAGTTTTTTTTTTTCTAACTCTTTTATTCTTTAGGTATTCTTCCCCATTCCCTTTGCGTATTATGATCCAGCCATTGTATTCCGCCAAGCGAAGATCCCGGATGTAATACCCGTTCATAAGGACACGGGGCACTGGGCACCAGGACCGAGAAAAATGGCTTGTTTCGATAACAAAGACTATAAAGACATTAGGATAAATAGTGACGACTTCCTTAAAGAAGAAAAATCACAAAAATTGCAATTGATGGAGGTAAATTTCGACTAATCCATTTTTTAAGCATTTCTTTTGCAGTTTTTATAGTTATTTAGTCAAACACGTTTTAGAGTTTGGTTAAATTTTCTGTGTTTTTGAACGGGGTCTCTTTAGTTTAATTTAACTGTCGGATTTCTTCACTAGGTGTTCGCTGCTAGTTCTTTACACGTGTTCCAAGCAGTCGACATTGATTTGAGGAAACGATATGAACATGTAACATGTGATCCTCATCTTAAAGAAGACGAATACAACACATGTTTGAAATTCAAGGCAGAAGGCATGGCTTCTCGCTCACAACTCGCTCTCCTAGTGTTTGAGATGGAACAAAAGAGTCAGGGAAATGGAGCCACAGAGTTTCATCAGTTACGTTAGTCACACTCGTTATCAAGTATCCTCATACGCCAATTAGCACTTAATGACTGGCGAAGCTGAGGGGAACAGTTAGAGTCGGAGGGGGGGGGGGGGGGGTAAGGGGAACAAACTCACGGTTTTCCGGAAGGCCAGTTTTTAAGTGTTTTGTTATACCTTACAACTCAATAATAGTACGATGACTGAAAATATATATTTATTTTTCTTGACGTGGGCTAGCACACATACTTGTCGGGGCTGCAAGATGCAAGACCTGGTCAAGTGTGAGTCAAAAATTCAAGTTGTGATACCCCTAGGGAAGGGAGTTTTGACCCATCGCACGTGATACTTTCTCCTCCAATTGGAAAAAGTATTTGAGTTGAGGGGTATAACAACGTCATTTGTCTTCATTTTCTTCTCTTGAAGATTACGCGACATTCACTTTCCACACCTGAAGAATACGAAACCAAAAATTGCCCACAAATATTTAATTTTTTCCTGGTATTTGAACGGAGTGTATGCATGCAGGTCATGAAGACAGAGCGACGTTCCAATAGTTAGACACATTAATAATAATAATAAAAAAATGATCGGAATCCAGTGAATTGGATAGTAGTAACGTTCTTGACGAAGCTAGGACATATTGTATTCTCTGATGGGGTCGAAAATATTTTCTTTTCTCGGAAAATGGCTGTGTTACGAAATCACAGATTAAGTATTTGACGACCTCGCTCAAGAATTTGACTTAACATTAGAAGTAGCAGCCCCTGTTAGCAAAAGGGGCTATCTTATCTCTATTTCTTTGATGTATTATTATTTATAAAACTCATTTAACGGACAAATTGCTAAGATGCATGTGTGGCTATGTGTAAAGCCTATAAGCACAAAAATTCAAAGATAACACGAAGTACTTATCGACAAATGTGAGAAAAGTTACGAAACGCAGATACGTTTAATAGGTAATAATTCTTGCTGTTCATTTTAGGAAACTAGTTTACAATAACAAAAATTATCATGCATTTGAAAAAAGGTTTTGGTAGTTTTTTTTTTGACTGGTGACAAAAACAGCTATCATCTCATCTCATAAATAAAGGTGAGAACTTCTTTGGTACTCAAGTCTAACAACTTCTTTCACATCCTCTTCCAATTTTAGCCCCGAACGTATATCCCGTACCCTCTCTTAAGTCTCATTGAGCGCACCATAAAGAAGGAACCGAGATTAACAAAGGCAAATAGAACGAATAATTGCCCTAAAAGAAAAAAAAATTGGCCTTCGAAACTCTTTTCCATGAGCAAAAGGTTCGAGCAAGACGAAATTGAAAATTCCCGAAATTCAACAATTCCTCTTCTCCTAAGTAACCTTAACCTTTCATTCACCTTTCTGTTTCTTTAGCTGATAATTCACCCAACTGCATTTGTAAAGCATTGTACGATAGCAGTATAGGTGGTCAAAAGAAGTAAACGGAATTTTAAAAAGAGCCAAAACATTTTTATTATTTCAGCGAGCCTACAAGAGTAAAAATTTCATACAAAAACGTTTACATTAAAACTCCATTGTGGTTCTCATTGGTTTAAATACGTGTTTTAACGATCGTTAGACTGGTCAATCTGGTTATTTACAAGTTTTACAGGTTTGTGTTGATTGACTGATTACATAACTGACATGGCATTCTATCATCTAAATAGTATTGATCTCGTACAAAACTTCAATAGTGACATGAATAAACCAAAACATGCCCCACCCCTACCCCCAGAAAAATAGCATGATCATGCATCGTTGATTTTGTTTCGCATTTCTCATGAAGAGAAATATTCCATTCTTCACATGGAAGTAGTAGCTAGTCTTTGTTCCGTCTGAAGAAAACCTGTTGACAAAAAAACTTTCATTTAGTCCGACAGAAATCTCCCCGTAGTTGTAAACGTTGTTTCGTGCAGCTCAACTAAATTTTTTCTTTCTTTTTGTGACGATGAGACAATAAGCGTACTCAATGTCGATCTTTCTCTTCATAAACCAGATCGTATAACGCGTTGATAAATTCTCATCATTCTTATAGTTCTCGTTCATTCTCAATGATTCAATTACCTGTTCTTAGCGCAATCATTCATTCAGTTAATCATGCATTAACTCTCCATCACTCGTTCTCATTCTCGCTCGTCGTCATTCTTCCATTCTCATTCATTCATTCATTCATTCATTCATTCATTCATTCCTTCCATTTCATTCCCACCACACTACCACTATCATAATCATTCTCAATCTTGCATCAACTTTACCTTCCTTCCTCCTTCCCTCTCTCAGTCCATATTTGGAGCCAATTGCTCCCAGCGGCGTTCAAAAAATTCAAAAAGTCGTTTTCCAGCCTGTCCAACCTGGGGAGACATAATAGTATCAGCATTAATTAAACGTTCCAACAATGAGCTTAACAGTAGTTAAAAAGCCGTTCCATTGCAAGGAGAAATTCTGGAATCGAGGTTAATCAAGAGAGATCGCTTCCTCTAATGGCGCCATTCAGACTTCACGTGACTTACCTCTGAATCATCCTCGTTAAATTCTTCACAGTTCAAGAAAACTGTTCGTGCGTCATCCACAAATTCGTTAGGTCCTTGGTACCTGTTGGCGAGGGCATCATGCGTTCATTTCACGAATAACATAACAAAGAATATGTCAGAGAACTGCACCAACTTACAGAGACTTGAGGAGATGTCGAGAAATCGGAGAGTTCTCCGGCTAAAATTTCCATGGCCTGAGCCTTTTTTTCATTCACACGCCGAAACTCTTCTCCAATAATTTTACACCATTCTCCTGCTACCAAATTTCTCATGAAAATTCTGAAATGATCCGCTTTAAGTTTTACCGCTCGAAACTATCCGCGTCTCCACCAGGAGCGGGAAAGCATTCACACTGATTTCTGGAATTGGAATTCGAAATTTCATGAGATCCCTAGATTGAATGATGACGAAATAAAACTTTGAGATCAAAGGGAGGCATAGGTTATTGCTTTACTTTAACAGATACTTACTGGCAATCACGAAGCTTTATTTTCATAGTATGGAAATCCATTGGTCTCTTGATTATTTTATAATATTCTGGAAACTAGAGTGAGACGGAGAGTGAGTAAATTACCGAGGTAGCTAATTTGCATTGCTTACAGACTTGCTCTATAATCCATGCATACCCAAGTGTACCCCACCCTCTCCCACACGGTGTTAATGGACACGAAAGCCAACAACTGGTAACTCACTCAAGAGTTTAAAATTAAAGGAAACAGCGAGTGTGATCTCACCTGTTTAGGATTGACCGGAACTAAGAAAGGCCAGGCGTCCTCGTGTTTTTCCATTTCCGCCAGGATCATGCGGCAAGGCGCCATGTCTTTGGAAGCTTGCTTCCGGTTGGCGTGAGGGCGAACTTCCTCCTTAAGGGGAGGGGTGAGAGGTCGCCTGTCGTCTTCCTCCTCGTCATCGTCCTTAATCTTTCGCCTCCTCCGTGGTTTGCTACGTTTCTAGAACGATAAAGAAAGAAAAACATGTTAGTTATCGAGTGGTTTCCTTGATCCTAAAAAAATTTATATGCAGTAACCAGATAAGACACAAAGCTGTAAACCTACTCTTTTGCAGTTTGGACACGTCCACGACGCCCTTGGAACCCTATTATATGAAAAGAACTCCATGAGCATGAAAACACACAGAAAATCTTCTTGGAAAAAAGACACCAGCTATAAACTTCTGTTCCTGAAGGACCCACAGCACCTCCCCTAAACGATATGCCCCCCCCCCCCCC